TAAAAAGATACCTAGAAACTTCAAAAAGTTCAATAAATAAATAAAATAAAATTTGATTTGATGATAAGATTCTTTAATCATATTTGATTAATGAATAGTTTTAATACGTAAATAAAATAAAATTTGATTTGACCGTATGATTCTTAATCATATTTAATTAATGAGTAGTGATACGAGGAAAATTTAAAACTAAAATTTGAAATTAATCATATAGCATAAATCATATTATTACATGAGTTAATACATATAACACTATAAGTAAAAGAAATTAATTATGATTAAGAAATGTGAACATCATTGATAAATTTTGGTGCATGGGAGAGTTCATGCATTTTATCTTTTAGTGATGAAATTTTCATCAAATAAAATTATCTTTTAGTGTCTAAAACCAATTAATCATATTTGGCTTAAGTGAAGTAATCCCCAATGAGGTTTTGGCTGCATGTACTTAACCCTCCGAAACATAAAAATGTACACTTAATCATTAATCCCTTAAATTATATATGATATTGTACTCTTTACCCCTTGGGGCATAGGAAATGTGCACTTAACCCTTAATTTTATTAATTAATATTGAATGTAAAAGCTCAACAATTCTACGTTTTCCCAATTTCACAAGGGATCAAAGTACATTTATAATTTGAAGAATTAAATACATATTTTCAAATCATGTGGAATGAAAAAAAAAAATTAATCAGGACAAAATAAGTTTGCAGCACTAAAAAGTTGACTTTTCAACTAACCAAGAACCAAAAAGGAAATATATACTGCCTTTGACTTTTCCTATCCTCGCACGTCGTCTTCACGACGGGGGCAGAAAAATATGATCATATAAGACGAAATTACCAAGTTATAGCACCCAGGCTCTCCCTTCATCCACTTATTAGAACTCCCTAGTTGATCTCTCTCTCTTCAACTCATACACACCATGGCTCTGAACAAAATTTTCTCCACTTTTTTCATCTTCACAGTTGCCATTATCATTTTTTTACTAAAAATCCAGTCTGCTGGAGGAAGACAATTGTGTGTTGTTGATAAACCTAACCCCAAATATGGTCCTCCTGCACCGCAAGCGCATTCTCCCATCCACCATTAATTTCTTTAGGCATGTTCTCTCTCGGTTTTTCTTTCTTCTTCTTCTTTTTTTTTTTCTTTTCGTCTATATCAAATTTTTTACTGTTAAATAAGAAAATCTCATACTATATACTTCTGACGATGAGCTTGAAATAAATTATAAGAGGAATAATCCTAAGGAAGCTTGTAGAGTTCCCATAGGATGCGATACTATTTTGTATATCAGGAGGGGAAGGAATCAGGTTAATAAAATAATTTTAGGTTAGGATAATTTAAGATTGAACCCCCAATTCTTTTTCTTCCTCTTGTTTTAGTAATCGTAAACAAGTTTGAGATACCTCTTGTATTTCCTTAATAAAATTTTCCTTTGCCGCTAAAAAAAAATTATAAGAGTGTCCAAAAGTTTTTGAGGTTGCAAAGTAAGTAAGCTTTTATTTAATATGGATGTAGTTTTTA